TGTCAAGCTAGAAGTCGGATGGAGTTCTGGAAACCAGCATTTGTTATCTTCAAGACTCTGTTCGGTTAAGAAGTTTCCTCCCACAGGGTTGTTTATGAATCTACCCAAGTTTAAGGCCTCAAGTCATGAACTGGAGCAGCCAATGAGCTTCTGTCTCCATGAGGAAATGGCTGCTGACAGCCAATGAGAGGTGATTGGGGACTGGCTGAGAAGCAGGAACTTTCCACCACGTGCACGGCTTTGTTATGGTTTGATTCCTGCTGGTGTAGGCCAGCAGCAGGAAACAAAGGAGAGAATGCAGCATTTCTCACAACTCTGACCAACTGACCTACTGCAGACTACTGCTCTTAGTTGGAAAAAATAAGAGCTCTAGGAGAGCTTGCTTTTTTACTTTGAACAATTAAGTTTATATTGTTTTATATTAAAAAGTTCACAACTTAATGGAAATATTTCTGTGTTGATCAAGATCTCACCATTCAACAAACACCAGACATGCTTGTATAAAGCGTTTAGAAACCCTAGACTGAATGAGAGGTTTTTACAAAGTGGCAATATGACATAGGTGATTTGAATATGTCTCAACTAGGCCCTGAAGGGTTTTGTAAGGCTTGTTTGGATGCCAACGCAGTAAAAGGGGGGAACTGAAGGAAAATCACTCCTACGACACAGCTGGATATTGACCCTGAAGCTGCTTTTCAGATCAAGGTCTCTGCGTTTAAAATGGGGTCACAACTGGCATGAAAAACACAAAGTATAAACTGGTCACACATGGGAAAAGTCATTTTACACTGATATTGTTTTATTTTAGCAATGTAATGATAAAAACGAGGATCTCAAGTTTTATTAAATTAATTAAATTTCTGTCCTAACCCTGTCCTCTGGACTCAGTGGAGTAAGTGGCTGAAAGGAGGGTGTTGTCCAAGTCTACATCCATCATGAACAACACCTTCCACCCTCTGCACCAGACTATAGAGGAGCTGAGCAGCTCCTTTGGTGAAAAACTTACATCCTGTTTGTAAAAAGGAGCGCTACCACAGGTCCTTCATCCCTGCTGCCATCAGACTCTTCAGAGCGACACTATTAGGGCAATAACTTGTGCAATATTAAATGTGCAATTACTATTTAATACCCTGTGCAATAACCTGTTTTATATTTAATACCCAGTGCAATAAACCATCTATATAAATACCCATACAATACCCTGTGCAATAACTCTGTATAATAACCTGTTAAGTATGAGACTTCAACATAACTTTTTCCTCCTTTTGGCACCTTCTTCTTCTTTTTGACTATTTGAGCCGATGTAACGAGGACAATTTTCCACTGTGAGATCAATTAAGTAAATCAATCAATCAACCAACCAATCAAATGATATTTTTGTATTCCCAAAATTGAGCTTGCCAAATCCCACCTTTTAATGTAAGATACACCAGTGGTTATATCCTGTTTTTGTTAGACATTCCCCACAAACGTCAAACATATTATATCTCATAGCTGGCCATAGTTTGTGCTTACCTTTGCACATCTCAATTGCACAGAACTGCCTCTGAATTGTTCCATCTGGGGCTGCAATGTAGCACCAAGGCCCCTCAGAGTTATCTGGGTTTCTGCAATAATTGTGATCGCCAGCATCTACAGAGGAGGTGCAAAAGAAGCAAAGCTCTGTTACTGATTCCCCAGTAGAAAAACAAGCACATCTTTGTTCCGCTGTGTGGATAAGTTGCTGGATTGACGACTTATTAACAGCACTTCATCACAGCAGAGTGAGCAGGCTGCCCTGAGCACACACAATGGCAACAACATCTGGTACATCAGAGGCAATTTAACACAGACAGACTCATCTCCAGTGTCAGCTGTCTCTGTATGTCAGCGGATAATTGACTTTAATTGACTTTTATTTATTATCTCATCAGGATGGATCAACAGAATGTGCTAGGAGTTATTTGTTATACTGTGAAGTTGTTGCAACCATCAACATAGGTGACATTTCAAAGTCTCCAGGCTCAAAGAAGAAGCAAAGTTTAGTGTTCAGGTAACTTTAAAGGGGAATTTCGTTTTTTTTTTTACATTGGGCCCTTGATTTTACGTTATTACATCATGTTCTACTCACCCATATGAGTTTTGTGTCATTTGAAGCTGTTCTGAAGATACTCTGTTAGGATATATCCAAGTAATGTCTTCCTATGGGCAACGAGTTGAAGGCACAAACTAAACTGTTCATAATTTATTCTTTATGGTACGCCAGCATTCATAACATGTAGGAGAATCACTGTCCCCCAGACATTCGGTGACTAGAACATGATGTAATAATGTAAAATCAAGGGCCCAATGTAAAAAAAACTGGTGTTCCCCTTTAAGGACTGATTTAGCAATCGGTTAATCGTTAACTGGACCTCACTTAGAGCAGTAATTATATCCAAATTGTACAAAAAAAATGTGTACACACACACACATTTATCCTTTAGATTAAAAAATACCTTTTTCTGTCAATATGCTCTATTCAGAACTCCTCAAGTGGAAACATTTTAGTTTCACTTGGTTTTATTTAGTACAAATCTTCTTTAAGGACACTTTGACTATTATTAATCGATTAATCATAAAAATTATCGATACAATAACCGATTTGCAAAATAATCGTTGTTTGCAGCCCTAGTAACATTAAAGACATGGTGCATTTACCTGTCTGTGAGTCTGGGTGCAGTTTAACATCATAATCTCTTGCAGTGCTGATCCAGTTCAGACACGTCAGACCTGTGGAGGAGCTCTGCTGCTCTCCTCTGTAATCCAGACCCCTGGATGTCACACAATCTGAAAATAAAACACGCCTGCATTAAAACGGGAAAAAAAAAAACATGTGCAACCAAAACAAATTTTTGTATCAAAATGCTACCCTTAGATATACATCATTTATATTTAACTTAAGTTATTGCTTTTTTCTGCAAAAAGGGTAGAAAACATGTTTACCTCCTGGCTTCCCACTTGGTGCGCTGCTTTCCACGATGGCTGCGCTCAGGAAAACAATGTGCAAAGAGAAAAACATCCTGCAGAGCTGCCGGGCTGAATTCACCGACAACATGCTGGTATTCTTCCTTTTATTGAGCTCGCTGGTTGTAAATATCGGCTGATCCAAATGAGTAAGGAGCCTGTGCATCAAACACACACTGCTCCTCTCGCTTCAGTCCCAGCCCTTGTTTTTGTCAGAAGCTTTCTTCGTAAACAGCCTTCAGAGGAGGAGGAGGGGAGATAGAGGAGGAGGAGGGGCCCTTAGCATCGTCATATCTCAAGGACCTCTCCCAGTTCAGCACACAAACAGAACATCGGCTCCAAACAGTCTATCTAATCTTGATATTCAGTCTTGGGAGAAGTCAGCATATCCAGAAGATTCAAGGTTTCAGTATTTTCTGCTTTACTGAAAAAAAATAAATATATTTTTTTATACTTTCTGTGCCGACCACTGATATTTTCTTTAGAAATACCCCAAGTCACCACTTTTCATGTTTAATCCAACCATATAGAGTTTAATCTGGTGCATCTGCAGTGCTCCCCTTTCCCAGGCCGCCTCAGGGGCCTGTGCTCCTGCTGGCCTCCCTCTGCAGAGGATAATAAAGCCTAGATCCTTTTCCTTCTTTGTGTGACTGTGTGTGTGTTTGGCCCATTGGCAATGAGGGCAGCCAACATGTGACTCACTCAGTGTGAACCAAGCCACTTTTCAAAAGGACACTCAGTTTTCAGGCAATCTGCAGAGCAAACACAGAGCATCTGTTCTTTATGCTGCAACAAACTGAACTCAGCCTCATACAAAATGTATTTCAATCCTTTCTAGGCTGTTTGCCTTACCCTTATCTGTGCACAACTTATAAAACAACCCCAAGAATGACTACAATTTCTTTATTCATTTTCTTTTACTGAGTTTTTTTTTTTTTTAGGTTAAAATACATACTTTAGAATTTTTTTATCATGTTCTATAACTATACTTTTTTTCAGCAGAATAGGTTTTCAAATCACTCCACTTAAAGCCAGATAGTTACTTCTGATAGGAAGTGAGACATGTATGGAGGACCAACTCTGCCATATTTATAAAATAAATACATAAATAAATAAATGCTCAGTAAATAAATAAGCATGCAATTAATTGATTGCTTATTTATTTATTGAGTAAGACACAACCCCTTCCTCGTTTGCATATAAGGCAGAAATGCATAAAGAAATGTAAAAACAACAGGAATAAATAGCGCTGAAGAAATAAAGAGGGTAAAAATTTACAAAAGAAGAATAAAACAGACAAAAATTTTAAATCATGCACATAAATACTTTAAAAATTAGTAATAAATAAATAAAGTTGAAGATTATGATGGATAATAAATTAATAAGGTAATTATTACAAAGACAAATAAAGAAGCCAATTGAAAGAGATATATACATTTATGTGTCACTGTATAATTTAATTTCTACCTACATTTATTTGTTTATTGTATTTTGGGGGGCAATAAATTGAATGCTTATTTATTCATTGAGCATGCATTTATTTCTGTATTTATTTTTAGATATGGCAGAGTTGGTTCTCCATAGAAAGATGTCTCTCAAAGTGATAAAACAATGTATAGATTTTAGTTTACCCTCTTTTGCATCACAGAAATCTAATCCTCATTACTGCTAACAGGTTCCTGAACGTTTCCACTGGTGTTTAGATGATTCATCTTGGTGATAAGCTCCAAGCCTCTTTATGCTTTGAGGTCAGAGGTGCATGCTTTAAACCTTCACTTTATTCCTTCCCTTACCTTTTTTTTCCCTTTAATGTCTTTTACATAAAGTCATTTCCGAAAAAAAAAAAAAAAAAAAAAAGATATAAAGGTAAATTGTTCAAATTTTGTCCAAATCAAACAGCTTATTTGCATAAACTTGTACAGAAAGGAATGTAAAACTACCAAATCACTACTATTTTATCATATTTCTTTGTCTGCAAAGAAAATGAACATTAGCAGTTTAAAATCATAAAGCATCACTTTTATTTCAAATGAATTACATCACAGTTTTCAGATTAGCTACAAATCAAATATGTCTTAAAAAAGTAGAGAAATCTTCACCAACATGACATGTTAAAGCTTTGCTTTGGGACTAGGCAATAAGTAACATTAACAAGAAAGTACAAATAAGTAAAAAAAAATAATATTCAAGAAAAGTTTGAGCACTTTAAATGGTCATTTATTTATTGATCAAAATACTGAAACTCACAAATACCCAGCAAGTAAATCTGATTTCACATCAAATGCTGCTCTTCATTTTATACTAAAATATGTGCTCATTCAATGTCTGGTTATACAAAGTTATCAAAGAAAATCTAACAATGATAACATTTTTCCTTGAATAGCATGCCCAAGATAATCATTCAAACAATGACATATAGATTTTAGAATAAATGCATCAACAGGAACATTTTATTTACTAGCAGTGGAAAAATACTACCTGCAAGCCTCAAATGGCACGCAAGTCAGTATTTATATAAAAATACACACCTGATTACAGAAGCTGTACCCTCTGATCCTTGCCTTTCCTCCCGTTGCCTTAGTTAATAAGTAAAGAATTTGGATGCAAGCTTTCTACTACTCCACATACTCTCAGTATGGTCACTTATCCACTTTTTACGCCTTCTGGGAATGCAAGATATTTCAGGCTGAGAAGTCTGGTTTCAGCAAGAAAAAATAACATTTGTTTTATATTTGACAAATATTCTGATTATTTCCCTATATTAGACATAGTTTTAAAATATCCATATAAGATATAGTAAATTTTATGTTTTATATCGCATTTATTTATTGGAATATATCTGATAAATGATATGAATGAATCATGTGACATTTGTTAAGTTCTGTTTACCTCTGCTTGAGATTGTGAGAATTGCTCTCCCGTTACTAAAATCTATGCAATCAAAGTCTCCTTTCCTTTTTGTCAAGAACAGCCACTGAACCTTCAGAAAAAAAAATCAACTCCCTGTATGTTTCTAAGGTAAATTCAGTGGAAAAAAAAAAGGAACCGTTGCTTAAATTCTATTTAGTTTTGGTTAAAAGAAAAAAAAAAGAAATCTTAAAATGGGGATACTTACTGTGCACCATGTAAACCTAGAGCAGGTCACAGGGAAAACTGTCATAGCTATAAAATCCATGCACTTGTTGGTGCAACAAACTGTTCATACATAGAGAAAAAAAAAAAAAAAATAAGAGAAACTTCATTTTCTGGTTTACAGACAGATTCTGATTAATTTTCTACATCAAGGAATTAACTTTCTCTGCTAAAATTCTACTAATCACCTAATACTGAAACTATTGAATTGAATGTTGAAAGTTTCCTGAATTCTAGTGGTTATCAATCTAGCAGTGGACTATCTGATGATGTAAGGCAGCTGTAATGTGTGGGCTGTTATAGACAAACCACCAGATCTCATTTAGATCCCTCAGAGTCTGCCCTCAGCTCTCTCGCGGCTGAGAAAATGGACACTTATCCAGTAAGAAGGCCTCTAATGGAAAAATCAAACCCCAGATCACGTCCCCCACTGGCTGCTCAGCAGGCAATATTTCCACATGCTGTTGCATTACATCACTGCATCAGTCTGAGCCTGGATACGATTGCTGCAGAAGAGGAGCATAAGAACAAATTTGCCTAGATGACCTGGAGCTATTGTTCTGATTGCATTTCCCTATGATCCTAACGCCACTAAAACAGGCATAAAGCTTCATCCAGGCAAGGACCCTCAAAAGCAAACAGGGTTACACCATTAACCCTACCCACTTAGCTCTTGCATAAGTTAAAGAACGGTTGCAGCCGGACAGCATCAACATTACATTTAATACCGAGTGCGTCATGTCCACTTTGAAAATATCAGAAACTAATTTTATCCCAGGTCACACTGGTCAGCTCCCCTCTGCTCTTTGTACAGTGGCAGTGCTCCAGCATTCACAACAACTGTTAAAGCAGGGGGAAGGTGAACACCACTCTGACTTAGTAAAGAATAAACATCCTGCAAACGCATCTGCATGTTTAAAGGATCCCACAGATGTCGTATACAAGCGAAGGTTTTAACCAGGTGATGGAGAAGGGCAGCTCTGGTTAAGAGGCCGCAAAGAGCACTGTGGAAACAGGGATCCACAAGGAGAGCCAGCCAAGAGGGAGTCAATGTTTTAGCTAAAAGAGAAGAAAAAAAGTTTTATTTGAGCACATAAAGCGGGAAATATTCTAGAGTTCAGCTCTAATAATTTAACAACATAGGACATGTATGACAGTGTACCTGGCTGGAGCTGCTCACAGGCGCTAAGGTTATCCATTAGCTGTGCTGCATTCTCCATTGCCCAATTAGTTAGTGTCTCTGCCAAAGCAGAGGATTGAGAGGATTTCTCAGCCATCTGCAGCAGGTAGGGCAGCAGGTGTGCAGACATGATGGAGGGCTCTGCAAACACATTCACCTCATCCTGCTCGTACAGACTGGAACTCCTGCAAAAACATACCAATTATCACCTACATATATATATATATATATATATATATCAATATCAATAGACCTTTGATTTGTGAACTTGCAACCATAAATTTAAATTTATTTTATGTGATCAACTGAGCGATAAATAATGGGATGCGCCCAGAATGTGTCAATAAATTCCAAAACAAATCTATCCAATTGCTTTCAGAAATTGATAGTCGTCTGCCTATCTTCAATCAAATTATTAAAGGCATACTATGCAACATTTTTCAGTTAATTAATGTGTT